CCCCCACTGTGTGTGTGTATGTATATATATATATATATATATATATATATATATATATATATATATAAACCACAACATTACAGAAGCAATATATTGTGCATACTGAAACTTTTAAATGGGCAGAAATTTGTTTCCTACCCATTTAATCAGAGGTGTGTTTGAAAACTACTTTGAAAAGCATGAATGAAACCTTCAGTCATGGCAGTTACAGTAAAAGTTAAAGCGCTTCATTTTCAGCCCCATTCACTGTTGTTTCGTTCTCTTCCACTCCATTTATCTTTAGTCGCAAAGTCTTGACCTGCACGGTCCATTATTCTCTTTTGCTTTCACCATCTCTTTCTCAGACCCTCCCCCATCTGTTTCTCTCGAATTGCATGCACAGCACATAAAACAGAACCAGACTGTTTTCTTTTCACATAGAATGTCTCATTGCATCCCTCTTGCTCTTGCTCGTTCTCTCTCTCACAAAGTGTGTATATGTCCGGATTGTAGGAATGTGAGCTGAAGACATTCCTCTCCGGATTGGCCAAAAAGACATCACCCATCACCATCAAATGGGATTACCAGCAGGGAAAGTGAGAGAGAAAGAGAAAGAGAGAGACGGGAGAAGAATGAGCAGAAGAGAAATAAGCCCTAAACAAGGCACACTGCACAATGAAGAGAGGTAGAGTCCAAACCAGTCTCTGCTGGCAATAAAACGGTCAATGGACTTCATGAACCAAAACTCCACTAAGCAAACCATCAAATAATGGTGTTACTGCTGACTTGAGTGAAGTGCCAACCCATACACACATTAAAGTGCTAAACATCCAACTGTTTAAACTTGGAACGCAAGTGCAAAAGACAAAGCCACTAACATAACATCTTTTCCAGATTCTGGAGGCTTTGACTTTGAATAACCTACTTTTCTTGCCAAAGCCCTGTGCAAAACTGTGCTGACTAACAGCATTTTCACTGAGCAGAGCATTTCTGATTAGATTTCTGTACCTCTTTTAATGTTTTCTAACCTTGTAACTCAAACTTTTTTTGTCTACATCTATATCTTATCAGATATACATCCTCTATTTTTTATTCTCATACTAATATATATATATATATATATATATATATATATATACACACACACACACACACACACACACACAC